TTGAATCATCATCAAGGCCTACAGTTCCGGGACACTTGCCTCACGGGCTGGTGCTTGTAGTAGGGTTTTCGAAAAGTGGCTTGGCTTCATGGCTCCTATTTCATGTTTGCTTGCCGTCGCTGGCCACTTCAGCTCTGAGCCTGCGCCGCTCGAATGACGACGGCAAGCAAACACGCTCCATGGCAGTGAAATCAGAAGACTCGTCACACTTGTGAAATCAAATGATAACTTCTCATTTTTTTCAACGAGGCCTGCCCGCAGAATGGCCTTACAAGCCCCAAGAAGCGGCGGAAGGAGGCAGAACTGCAAAGCCATTCTGGCAGTCGATTTGCCTGCAGTAATCTTCTGCAGGTTGATCCGAAGGGCCAGAGTGAACAGGAGCATTCTTTGCCGGTAATCTCTGCCGGGAGATTCCTTGTTTGTGTTGAAGCAAGGAGTCCCAGCAAAGAGATCTGGGCTTGAAGCTGGCTGCGGGCGCCCTCTGCCAGCTAGTTGACAAGGCAGCTGGCACTGTGGGACCGTGTGGTTGTAGCCTCGAAAGACACCTTTGCCAATGCAGGGCTTCCTCGAGTTTTCACCTTTACCTTGGGCTCCTGGGACAGCAGTAGACTGCCACTATTCCAAGCACCTTGCAACGGTGGGTTCCCGCCTTCTCTACTGTCAGACGGCTCTGTCTGGTTTGGCGGGTAACCCCTTCAAGCCTTTCAATTGGCCAAGGCCTGGGAGTTGATTTCCTTTGTGGAGGAAATGTATGACCTCCATCACAAGGATGCCTGATTCGACATGCAGAAAGCATGCACCTGGAATCTGAGCTGCTGCTATTGTCAGGAGGTTGAGCGTCAGCTGGACGTGCTGCGTGACACCTGGCGCCTGTTCAACATTCGGGAGCTTCTGTACATAGGGGGTCCTTGTTTGGGTTCTTGAAGCGGTGGCCGGACTTGCACTGCTCTGGATGGCATGGCGAGGCACCGTGGCGAGCGCCCTGGCAGCGAAGCAGCAGAAGCGGTCACGCGGCTCTTGCGCGACAAAGGCAACATTCCTTGCACAAGAACAGCCCTGAGCAATAGGCAATGAGAGTAAAACACCGCCGGCTCTCGGGAGGTGTTGCTGTGTACACCCCGCCTCCCTCAGAGGAAGAAGCAGTCGGTACCTTACTCGCTTGAATGGGCACAGGGATCAGTGAGCTACAAATGTAGAGGCATCTCAGCATGGTTCAGATGACTGTCATCAGTGCAATGTGCAGTCGCCGTGGTCCACCAGCGGTCCTCGCTTCTACGTTTCCGTGACGGAGGCCCGGAATGCAATTGAGAGGCTGATGTGACTGTTTATTTCGCTTCCTGCTCTCTCGGTTTGCCGTGAGGCTGCTTGGCGACGTTTCCCTATCGGCGCTCCTGCGCCGCCAAAGGTTCTGCAACAGCTGCTGTGGCCACATGAGGCAACATGTGCTATGCACCTGTTGAAGCCTCCACCTCCACCTTCAGTTCCACCCGCCATGTGCTAAAACCTTCTGTTCCTTTTGTATTCGCCGTTTCCCTCCAGGCTGACCAGGCCCTCTCCGTGGAGGGCTCTTGGCCGAACTTAGTTCGAGGCCTGAGCTGGTAGCGCAAAGGAGAATCACATGGAAAGCAAAATATGAGCTACTGCTTTCAGGGTTTACAAGTTAGGGTTTAGGTTTTAGGTAACAATCGAGAATCATATCGAAATAACTGGAAAGTCAAATGCACACTACTATTTAGGACTGAGGGATGAGGGTAGTAGGATATTTCTCACCTAGCTTGCCAAATGTCAGAAAGCAACGACCACCAGAGCATTTCTTCTCAGGCCTTGGCTGGGCCCTGGCGCCACCACACAGCTGTCCCCAGGCGCAGATGTTTGTGAGACACTTCCTCCAGCTGCCTCACGCAGCTATTTAATTTCAAACAAGTGAGAACTCCTAGTCACGAAGACTGAGTGTTTTGCTCTCCCTGAAGGCACTGCATGCGGACATTTGGGGTGATGGCAAGCCTCGCATTCTGCCTGCATTCAGGGGATTGACTGACGTTGCAATGAGGCCTATGGGAACCTCCCACCATTTCCCACCCTCCAGTCGAACCCTCAGGGAGGGGTTCCAGAACAAGTGCTTGTTCGACATATTGAGCTCAGCGGGAACATGTGTTCGTGGTTGCCGGGCCGTGGATTGTATGAACGCTCGGGATGTGCTAGGCAGTGTGTAATGTGGTTTTCATTTGTTCGCTGTGCAGGGTTTAACCTGTTTGGCGTGTGCATTAGAGGTTCGATGTGAGCAAGTCGCATGTGAGGTCCCGGCCGGGTTCGTTTCCATCATATCTTATGGAAGCGAAGACGGGGAGCCAATTGCAACACGCCACTTGGCACGTCGCCGTCCGGAATTTGTAGGTTGCTTTTGCAGTTGGTCGCTCGCAGCGAAATCAAAGATTTGCATGAGGCAAATCGTGCCTGGTGCATTCACCGACGGAGATACTTGGGAGGAGCACTATTCGCTCCATGGCCGAACATGGCAGAAGAAGCGTCTGAGCACCCAGGGTGAGCCATGCGGCACCTGGCCTAGAAGTCACAGTCTATTGGCTTGTGGCCAAGGCAGATGCTGACTGCCAGTGCTCCCTGCCTTCTCGTAGACAATGAGGCTGAGAGAGTTGACACGATTTTTTGTTCGCATCAAAAATCAAAGTTGTGTAACATCAATGGATGGATGACGGGCCCATGCTGCTGAAGTTTCCTGTTGGCCGAAAAGGGATGGGGACCGCAGAAAGAATAAGACGGAATAAGAAGGAATAAGAAGGCGGCTTCGCGATTGCAAGCGGAGAAGCTGCGAAGGTCGCATAATAATTGATGCGATGGCAGGTCTTGCATCGGGGAGCTGCCAACCCAAGCGACCGATGGGCAAGCACATGTTCCATTGAGCTGTGCACCCGCACTGGTTTCTTGACAGCAATCCTGCCAGCAGTGAAGTAATGCCACCAAGCCAACCGATGGCTTTGCATGAGGTGCATCATATAAATCGCAGATGCATAATCCGATCCACAGCCAATCATGGCAGCATGCACGTGTTGGTTTGCCAAGGATATGAGGAGGTTTGGAAGAGCAGCGGTGAAAACGACGGTTTTTACCGGATGCTGCCAATTCGCTGGAAGAGATAGACCGCGAGTCGGGGCCAGGAAGGATACGTGATCCCTCACATTCCATTGTCCATTTTTTTCTGAACCCTGCCCTCGTAGTACAAGTAGCGACAGCAAAGGCATGAGGCTCAGCTTTCAAGTTCAAGAGCTGAATGAGCAAAAACCAGTTTGGAGGCGTAGCAGTCCCGAAGCCAGTGTCTATGCAATTGTAGCGAAGATGGGAACTATCTTCCAACTGCTGCACAGGATTGCTGCTAGAGCTTCACTTAGCAAGATATCCTGCTACTTTCACTTGCACGAAGCTCCCTCATCCACAAAGCTCATCTACGAAGCCGGCAGCAGCTCAATGATCTATACATGCCGTAGGACGCTAAAAGCGCTCTACCGGCAGCGTGTGACGTGCGTTGGGCACGTCGGGCGCATGAAAGCTTGTCTCTGCTTTGTGCAGGCTCGGCAAGTTAGCCCCAACAGCGTTTCGTGCGCTGGATACAGTATTGGAAGATTACATGGTGGAAGTGGACAAGGAGTTGCTTGCCAAGAATCTGCGGTAACACGCCATACGCTTGTTGCAAACGTTTCAGTTTACTTGAGCTCATGTTGGCAGATCCGGTCAGGCGCCAGAAACATGAGTGCTACCTCGGCAAATTAAACCTCCGCGCATTTCAGCAGACAGTGGCAACATGATTCTGCAGTGTCCGGGGACGGATCGACATGCTAAGCTCACTTGCGGCCTCTGTGAGGAGTCCGGAAACATTCAAGTGAGGACTTCTGTGAAGCAAAGAAATATTATTTGTTGTTGCTTTTTCATTCACAGAGGCTGCAACTTATTATTTTTCAGGTATCGGCTATGTGAACTGAGTAAGACCGAGTCACTGGGAGACCTATCCAAACAAATGCATCGCGTGCCTGCATCACGACTCATTGGAGCACTGTTGCTGCATTAGGCGCACACATTGATTCAATGGCAATGAGGGGACAAGCACATGCACTGTTGCTGTTGTTTGTTCTTGAGCACCGGAAGCCTGATCACAAAATTCTATTTTGCATGTTTTGTGTCAGGCAACGAGGAGTGACGCCACAGCGAACAGCTTGGTGGTGCCTAAAGGTGTCTGGAATGGAGGAATTGCTCGTAGGTGGAATTCTTGCAGTGACGTTTCAAGTATATCTTGCCAAGTATTGTGAGAACAAAGCTCAATCCACCAGGCAAGCCAAAGTGCTTGACGTGCTGAGCAGCGGCTGCATCGATTAACATTCTTCTGCTTGAGGCGTGCGGTGCTGGCCAGGCCTTTAAGATGATTTCTTGTGATCTGAATGGTGACAGCATTCATACTCCTGAAGATTGTGAGGAGAATTGGTGAATGAACGACAGGAACGATCATAGACCCGGCTTCACCTGCAACCTCCACAACGCGCTCTCTCTCTGCGAGTTGTTTTAGGGCTCAAGGTTGCCTGGAGCGCCGGGGCGAGGTGGCCCTGCTGCAGCTATTGCCAATGCAACGATACGAGTAGCAGTAGCAGTAAGGCTGGTGTGACAAAAGTCATTTTGACAAACATGGGTGGCATTCTGCTGTGCAGATGAAGTGTTGAATCGAATGTACTTAAAGGGTGAGGTTCTGGTAGTGGGCGCACTTGAACTTGTCATCATGATCATCATGACAGTTACATTGCTACTGTCAGATCAACACTTGTTTTATGAATGCTAGTTATGACTTGTAACGTGAAACTTGGTCACCTGCAGTTGGATAACAGTACTGGTGGTTTGACCTCTTGAGTTAACGCACCACTACTGCTTTGTCATGATGTTTTTTTCCCGGGCTTCCTTGTTGCTGTTGGCTCAGGGCCTGGGCGTGGGCCTCCTCCGCATGGATGGCGGCAGCGAAGCTTGTACCTTAGATTGGCCATTCTAACCAGACTGATGATTGCCCTGGTGCATGGTTGGCACAATGGGGCCCTTTGGAAAGACCTCAAGACATGGGTGCCGCTCCAAGAGTAGTAGCGCAGCGGGCTCACTGACAGCTACCCAGCTGCCATGGTGGCGAAAGCATCGTCCGCGCATTGGACAGTCGTTGTCTTTTCAGTGTCATAGCAAGAATACTTATGCAGATGCGCGCCAGCCAAATTCTGGTCCTTTTGAGGTTGTTCTTTCATTAGAGCACATGTAGCTGCACCTTTTTAGAGGTCACTGGCTTTGGGCTGGTAACAGCTTTGCGGATGCATCTTTAACTACTGACCTTCGATTGTTTGTATTTTCAAAGAGACTCCGTCAGGCCAACCATCAATGCGCACATCCCGAAGACGGACATTGTCACCCGCCATAAGGCCGGCCGGCTCTTTGTCACCAACTTCTCTGGGGCTGTCCTGCTGTTTGTCGCCGAAGCTTGTTTTTCGTTAGTTTTTGGGTTTTGGATCTAAGCTGATTGCAATGGCTCTGCGCTACTGAGTGCTTGCAGCATTAATATCTCGCACCTAGCATGTGGAAAGCCAGATCTGCCCCGGGCCAGAATTTAATCAGTTCTTTGTGCATGAGACATGTGTAAGCGGTGCAGTTGTCACGAGGTGATCCGCTTCGGAACGACCAGGAAGGCCGAAGAAGCGAGTAGCATGCTTGTTTCATGACAGATATCTGCTAATGCAGTCAAGTGCTTGCATTCCATCAGGGTTCGCTGGAGCTCTCAAATGCGTGGACCTATTGTGACACTTAAAACTTTAAATCTAGGATACAACAATAGCGGGCCACCATTTCAGAAATTGCTCATGCAAGCAGTCCGGTCTATCCCTATGTCATTAATCATTCTCTGTTCTTTGGGAACTCTTGAGATGAGACCAATTGAGTAGTGTTTTACTTGGGGATAATATATGGTACCCAATGTAGAGTAGGGTTATATCCTCCCTTTAAGGTATAGTATCTTATATGAGGAACATAATCCTACTGGGTTTAACCACAAAAAACGCTACTCAACTGACCCTGTTTGCCTCCCCATTTAACGTTGCTTGTGCAGGCTCCCACGGAGCAGGAGGCCAAGCTCTATGCTTATTTGCACCAGCGGGCCGACCTCAAGGTGGGCCTCTTCCCCTTGCGCTTGAAGTGAGACACCCTCCTCTCCAAAAGAAATTCGATTTGCCCCCGCAGTACCTCAGGTTCAGAAGTTTTGTGCTAAGTCTGAGATTCCACGAGGTCTCCCGAGGGAGCATCCCGGTGGGCTTCTACTCGTGCATGTTTCTTGACGAGGGCACCAGCCTGAGATGTTCGGAGATGTTTGCCTGCTGATCATTGGCTCCTACAGCTCCGGCTAGGTCAGCCTTTGTATTTGGAGACCCGATATGGCGGCAATGACGATGAGGGTGAACCTGTGGGACCTCAATACCAGGCAGGACCACAGACTGACGCCGCGTGCTGAAAGCCAGATTGTGCGGCCAGGTCAGCTGGAAAGCTGAAAAGGAGGTGATTCTTGGCTTGTTACTGGAAATTTGAATGGAAGCCCCTGCATTTTGTTTGTGTAGTTTCTTGGGTGCAGATCAGGCTGCAGATGCAACACCTTTCAGAGTCAATCAATCAACCAAGGATCCCGCCCCTTGACAGCTTGAGCGACGGGCAACCTCAGCAAAGTTTGATTCTCGTGTAGTGTTCTGATAGCGAGTGGTGCTCCTGCGACTGGGCAATTGTTTTTGAACCCGTGCCTCTCTTCGCCTGTTTGCCATTGGGCTAGGTCTACATGCGCACAGTCAAAGCAAATGCAAAGGGCTACACGTGTCCACGTATAGGCTCTGCTTTATTTTGCTGATGTTAAGACTCCTCCTCGACAAGCACATATGATTGTGACTTTGTCCTGAAATCTTGCAGTAAGTAAGGGGCCTGGCGAGAGCCAGCTATCGATTATCTTACAAAACTTACCATCTACACATACGCAGCACCGGTCGCAATGTTTGATCTGCCTGTCAAATCACTGCCGGTGCTGGGCCAAGCATCCTTGCCTCGACAGTTCGTCATGCGCAAAGTGCGCAGCATCGACCAGTCAAGTTCTTGCAAGCAATTCGCTTTTTGTCATGTGGCTGGGCGTTCCTGCCACATTCTGACACTTTTGGCGAGATGACTTAGCAGCATCAGCACATAGCATGCTCTGTTTTGCCATGTGGAGGTGCCAAGACGGCGCCGTCTGAAAAGGTCAGGCTGTTCGCCAGTCGCCCTCAAGCTGTTGTTTGTGTTTTGGCACTAGACCCAGTTGCGCATAGTTGATGTTGATGACATTATCCGTTGGCATGGTCAGACTGCGTGAGAGCTCGAAACAGGCCACTGGTGGTTGTACGACCTGCCTCAGCTGCGCTTGCCCTATGCTTTGGGAGCGCATTCGCAGGCGGGCAACAAGGGCACCATCTCCCACGTAGTCGCACCTACCTGCCAGGCGGCCTTCACAGGCGCTGGCAATCTAGCACCGCTTCCATGGCGCACCTGAAAGATGAGGCAAGGTGCAATTTGCAGCTCTGCTTTGCATTGTAAGTGCAGACGACCGGCAGGAGCTAGCTGTGGAGGCCGTGCCGAGCCTGGCAGGTCGGCGTGGGCAGAAGCACCATAATATGAGCTGTAGGGGTTTATTATGTAGGGGATTATATAGGGGACTACTACAGGGGTTATTAAGGGGGATACTAGGAGTTTAGACTGCAGCTCATATGATTTACACAATATACTGTATCATTATCCTTCTGAGTTCTCTTGCTCCTGAGCAAATATCCAGAAGTTCGCAGCATGGTCTCGCTGCAAATAGCCTTGTGGACCTTGGATTTCTATGTGACAGAATTGGTTGCCTGAAATGGAATGGCTGACGCTCAAAGCAACCTGGTTTGCATTCAAGCCAGCTGTTGAATAGATTGGAGGTCCCGACAACGGAGTGATGGAGGTCGCAGACTCAGTTTTCAAGCCACTCTTGCTCACAAGTACTCGTAGCTGGACACGCATCGTTCAAGCTTCCGGGATGGTGGGATTGCCATCATGTTCTCATGTGATTCATTTGAAACCATCTCTTGCAGACTTGCCGCACTTGCGCAAGCTCACAAGCGATGCCGTCCTTTGGCATTTCTTTTTTGCGATCATTGTTTGCAAGCGGCAGGTGGTCGGGGAGAACAGCTCCAAGGCCATTCGATTTCTCTACTCAGCAGGCCAGGCATGCTGTGGCTGCTTTTATCTTGTTTGTCACTGGCCAAATGGCCTACTCCTCGATTGCCTTTTGTTCGTCGATTGGGCATGTGGGTCAAAATGTGCCATAAAGTGCGAAGTTCAATCTTGTGCGCCATGAGGGAGACTGCAAGGTGCTTCTCTTACGTTTCTTCATTCCAGCCCCTGGCGTGGATTTCCCCAAGCAACGGACTGGCGCCACGAACTCCTGAAGCAAATTGACACTGTCAATTTGCGAGGAGGAGGTGTATGGAGGACCCATGAATATTATTGCCTTTCTCGGAGCTTGCCCTTTGCATTGCCACAAGGCCTGCAGCAATTCCAATCAACCATGGCAAAACTGCAGGCAGGGCCAAACTTGTAGCATAGCTTTCAAGTGGGAAGTTTGCAGTTTTAGGGTATCAACATGACTGCTATACATTCCCATCAGCCGTTTTACCCTCTCTCATGCACGCAAGCATGTTCACATAGGCCTGCTTGGCACTGGAAACCCCGCAGCTGACGTGTAGCACAAGGAAGTCTGCCATCGCTGTCGCTGTGAATGCTCTCATCGCTACCGGTACTGCAGGAATGTTCATTGTCCCTTCGCTGGGGTCCTGTCTAGGCAGCCAGTGCCGGAGATGAAACAGTGCTCCAGGTGGCTGCATTTCCAGAGAGCAGTCAGCAAGGTCAATCTAAGGTTCTCAAACTGTAAGTGCTTCTACGAAGGTCCTGAAGACAGGAATGGTCTTCCCATTGAGCATATTCGAGGGGGGGCTCTCATTATGAGAAATGTCTGATAAAACACGTGCCCCTTGCTGCAAGACACGTGGGCTGGAATCTACGGAGAGGGCTTTGTCATGAGAACCATGGCCCAAGCCACAACGTGATCAGGCGGTGCTGAAGAATATACCTGCAGTTGTGAACAACATCACTGAGCAGGCGCGCATTGGGTCGGGTCGGCTCTGCATGTCTTTGCCGACTTGCCCACAGGAGATTCCGGAAGATCTCGAAGCTGATTTTGAACAGGCCAACCTGTGAAATTCCTCACCTTCATCGCGTGGTCTTGGTCGTTCAAATCGAAAGAGAGCCTTTGTGCTTTGCTGTCAGTTGAACACACTCAGCATCCCTGGATTTGTCTTGATGCAGGCCCTGGAATCGACCTCAAACCTTCTGTCGCCAGAGGAGATAAACGAAGGCGCGAAGCCTTGGTCATCCATGAGTTTTTGAGCAACACAAGGCTTGCACGGAGCTGTGCGCTGTAAGCAGGTCTGTCTGACGTCAACACAATCCGTTAAAAGAACACGGTCCGTTGGGAGAGACTCCTTGCAGAGGCAACGTGACGCTAGGGCCCACATTTTTCCGGCAGATTCTGCAGCTGTCGCTCGCAAGGGTCTTAGCTGCGCAGTTCTGCTGTCACTGCACGAGACGGCCAGTCAGATGCATCCTGTAGTGATTTGATCAAGGCAGTATCAGGGTCGTGGCTCACTGCTTGCTGCCTTCTCAAACCGAGTAAGCGGGGTACCACCCCCTTGAAGTTTACTAAGCAGGGCCGACCCGCATGTGCTTCTTATGGCTTCCAAGACTCATGCAATGAAAGCGCAATCTCTAAAGCAAGTTGTCTTTTACAAGCATGGCGTTCCCTCCGTGTTCGTGGCTCCACACGCCTGCGCAAGATAGCAGGCACATGGGTTTGAGCAGGGCTGTCCAAGTCAAGGTGCGGCGCCTTCCGGAGATGATGCGGCGGTTGGGGCAGATCGAGTCTCAGCCGCAAGTTTGGAAAAGTGACAGGTCTGCTACAATGATTTCTATCATTTTGTGCCCTTCCATATTTGTTTGCTTTGGACCTGCATGCCCAGATTCACCTTTGCTAGGGATATCTTTCTAAATGAAGGGAGCTGGGAGACTGCGTCTAGAGTTCAGATGTTGGTGCTATGAACATGTAATTCTGGGCTCCTGAGGCTTAAGCTGTTCGCGTGTGAGGCTCACCAAGGCAGAACTTGCGGGTGCGTGCAAGGAAGAACTCCGTCCGTGTGAAGCTGTTTCTGATGGAGGATGATGGGTTGGCTTGTTGTGGACGGGCAATGCTGGCCAGAACCGTGGGCTGTCCTGAAAAGGCCGTGCTGAAAACTCAAATGGGTGGATGGTCCTTGGATTTTTCTGGTTGCGCCACCCTACAAAGTGATGATGATCGAATCGTTGAGTTCTGTGTCTGGAGGATTTTGTAATCCGTGCTGGCATGAAACTGGTCTCTGCTTTTTAGCGGACAGTCTTCAGAGGACGCATACCATCTGGCAGCACTTTCAGGACCAGCCCTCCATGCAGAGAACGAGATAGAACGAGAAGCACAGGTAACCTGTGGTGACAGAACTCTGTTCCAGTGCTCGGCTCTGAGGTAAACTGTTTTGCAATGTCATCGCTTCTCAAACACTAACACGAGCGCACGTTCCACGAGGCAACAAGAGAGAAAAAACAGAACATGACCTTCTTGTCGCAACTGTTGGTATCGGAGCCCCGGACCACACCTGAATGAAGAGCAACAGACATTATCATTCATTGAATCTACTGAAGCGGTTGCGTACTGACTCGATGTGCAAGCCCAAGGAGTTCCACCACCAGAAAGGGGCTGCACCCATCTCTGGATACATCATGTTGTGCAGTAGTTGTGTTTCTTGAAGCAGCGTGTCCATGTCCTTCAAGGAGCTTCTGTACCCAAAGTCTCTGGAGGAGAAGGCGGAAGTCTCGCAGGTGTGGTGCAATGTGATACTATTGACCTGTTAGCAATGGGGATGGCAGCACTTCCTATGCCACTGGCGCTTTGCATGTCGCGTCACCATGTAAGCAACTGCGCCTTATCTCCCACGCAACTAAGTACATTTTGTTTTGAAGGTCTTTTACCGGCTTGCAGAGCTTTTGGTTGACAAGCTAATGTGCAAAGACTCGGCTTTGACAGCTCGCGGAATAGCCTCAGTAAGATCCAGCTCCAGATGTCAGAGAGAAATTTGGACTGGGTCGATCCCCATTTCTGAATCCCTGGTCACAGGAGGAGCTCAAAGCCTCTTTAGAAGCGTTGGCAGAGGAGCTGAAGCAAGGCGGGTTCTTGAAAGGGGTTTAATGATTTTAATGTCAGATGTCACGTCATTTGCAGCTTGCTTGACCGTTCCCAAAGACCGTGATGTCCGCTGTCGTTATCCTAGCAGAGCACTGGGACGAGTTCAAGAAGTATGATGTTGCTTCAGGTGATCTGGTGGAATGGTCAGACGAGGACCCGACAACCAATTTCGCCCCTGCTGGACCAAATCTTGCACAAGTACCTTATGAGTTAAGATTATATACGTTGCTTCATGTCTCCGGGTGGTCCCATCATCACGTACTTGCCCTGAAAGCAATGAGTTCCAGCTTCGGTATGGATAGTACATTAATGCACCGGTGTCAGGACTTTAACGAAGCCCAGGATTTGATTCAGCGCGACTTTGCGGCAAGCTTTTTGCATTTTTTGTGCTGAAATCGTAGCTTGAATCAGACCGGCACTCGGTTGCATTTTCATCACCCCACCGTGACTTCATGGCCACCTATTAGGAAATCCGGTTCTCGGTCAAGTGGGGGAAGCACTTGCTTGCAACTCAGAGTGCGGATGCGGCACCTGCCCGGGGAGGGAGAGCTGAGCGCATGCATCCCATGAGGCAGACGCTGCAGACGAAGCAATCACTGAGGCCAATATCTGCGAGGGGGATTCGAAGCTCTTAACCCGAAACCCCAAGACCTGAAAAAACTAAACACTGACTCCTGGTTCAAAAGCGAACCCTTACCCTGACCCGTGTGACTGGGCGCGGTGCGGGTTGATCAGAATCTTGCAGAAGCCGTGGAGGTCTATGCGACCGTTTCGGGTGCAGCCGCGTTCTTGATCATAGTCGGTGGCCCATCTTTCGCCAAGTGCATACATACGGTTACAAGATGTAGGAGCTATCGAGTACAGATGCCTGTGTGGCTTTCTCTGATGACACAGGCTCAGCTGGGTCTGGTTGTGGCTGCCGTTGCAGCCTGCGCGTCCTACTTCGGCAGCGGAGGCACCTCCGTTTTGGCCAGGGCCAGCAATCTGCAGATAGTAAAATTGATCGCGTGAGCTCTCTGGCTGCAAAGGCAGTGACGCGCCAGTCCCAGCTGACACTACAGCACTGCCGCTTTACACGCTACGCTCTCAGACCTCTGGGCTCGTGCTACGTAGCGATTGGCGTAGTTGGGACATGCTCCACTTTGGTATCTTCGGGACGGCTTCGGTATAGTAGTGTGACTGGAACCATGAAGGATGCCCCAACGATGCATGAGGCCAGTGTCAATGATCTGAGGGACCTGACAGTGCTGAGGTTGGGTGGCACCTTTGGCGGAACGGGATCATGAAATGATTCCACCCATTGCTTCTCCAATCGGGAAACAGTCCGCTCAGTCCAGAGACATATTGCAGCTGCATTGCTGCTGTGATGCTGCTCTCAAATCTTTAGGATGAAAAGTGCTGCCTGCCAGTAGCCTGCCAGGTGGTACAAGGACTTAGATGACCTATGGAGCAACGTCCTTTCATACTTCGAGAAGCGTGGAATCCTGAGTGAGGACCTCCAGGGAAGTCTACTTCAAGTCTGGAGGCGACCGTTCAAAGTTTTCTTCCCCAAGCTGCCAGGAGACGCTGGAGTACTTGGATGCGGATCCCTTCGTCCTCTTTGGGGTTGACGATGCACTCACACAGCAGGACTGCAATCCGATGCTCATCCATAGTTGACCCGCCCAGATTTCAGCTTTGATTCGGAATGCTCGGAGGCGCTTTTGAAGCTGGAAAAGTTCCCGGCCCTGATGTGTGATGGCACGGACCTTGTGTGCAAGCAGTCCTCTAAACTGTTCCTGACAGCCCTCTACACTGCGAGCAAATTCTGACTAGATCAAACTGAGGCTCCGTACCGACACAGGACGAGTGGGCCTACTACTTGCGTGTGCGTCTGAGAAGCACCAGTCCCCAAGATTCCGCTGTTACTTAGCCTCTTGGTCTGTAATTGCCAAGGCATCGAGCCCCGCGACCCACAACTGATGTGGCTTGTGAGAGTTCCATGCCCAGAGACTCTGACGATTCATTGACGAGAGTTCGGCATACCTGACTGCCATGACTCAGGCTATGCAAGAGACAGAGCTGCCAAAGCCCTGGACATGCTACAAAGGCCGGATTTACACTCTTCCGTGTGCTCGTATGATGCTCAACATGATAGATGTAGCTCACAGGTATTGGAAGCATCGTGTGCTACCTTCGGTCCGACAGCGGCCAGGCCTGGGCCAAGAATCCCTGATTCTGTGAGTGTCTTTTACAACTAAAGGACAGACACTTCTCCCAAGTTCGCCGGGCAAGTAGTAGGCCCAGCTGCGATGAAGGTCACGTGGAAGCATCCCTTTTACGACTATTTTCGCCAGCTCCGCGATTTCTGCCGACAAGCATCGCGCGATGAGGCTGACAGTGCTGCATGGCTAGGATTTCTTGATTCTTGCAATTGAGTAGCACAGGGATGCACTCTGGAAGCCCCCGTTGATCCCCTTTTCATCACATCGATGCTGCTTCATTCGGAACTCAGAATCACAGACCAGGCAAACAGGCATCTGCAGAGCAGCACATCCTTGCTGCCCGCATCTTTTTATCACTTGAGTTTCCTCGATAGACACATCGCCAACACCCTAACATTGAGCGTTCCCTGCGGGTTGCTATTATGGATATAATCCCTACATGCCCCTAGGTTCAATATCGTTTTCCGTTTGATTGTCCATTAGTAGTCTTAGTAACCCGAAAGCCTAAACTATAAGTAATACAGCACTTTCCATTCTCTTTCCATTCTCCCCTATATAAGCCTACATGAGGGGACTTATTATTGTAGGAGGCGAGTTACGCTTGGAGCAAGAATGCCGTCCGGCCTGGAGCTTGTAGAATGATTAGAGTATGCAGGAGGTTATATAGGGGTTTAATTGGGATATATAGGGGAACGGAAAACAACAAGACTACTATATGATTTAGGGGTCATCGGGATATACAGGGATAGTTGGACTTTGAACGACTCCAGGTGATGCAGGTGCGCTGCAACCGCCTCTTGTGGAGCTACGAAGCGACTCGGGTCGAGACCGAACATGACCAGGACACAACCTAGGCATGTGCGTCCATCTGCAGCGCGTTGAAGAAGCACTCGCCTTCGCATAGATCTTGATGTTTGGCCTTCTGGGACAACATGTCATGATGTTTCAGCCTTGTCAGAGCCATACCTGCCTTACAAACGGCCTGCCCTGCAAGCCCAGCCGTGTGGGCAAGCAATATCCACGAATAACGAAGCAACTCAAAAATCCTGGCTTGGCAAAGCTTTGCTGGGGCCTCCAGACCCTGGGAGCTGCTCTTCTAGGCGCCTGCAGGCCAATCTGAACAACTTTAGCACATCTCATCAGACGCCGGCTCTTGCAAGCCAACAGACAGCTGGGGTTTTCTTCCAGGAGCCCCTCATATCGCCGCCGTATGTCGCGCGTATGGCCGACATCTTCGGCTTCGACGTGAAGGTACTGCCATCCAGATGGCTGACCAACACAGGTAAACTTTATACATTCGCTCTACAACTGGCTCTGCTCTTGGCTAGACATGCTCCCAGACAAGTTGAACGCAAACTCTCAGAATGCAGGTTCAAGGCTGCGTTGTGCGAAACTGCAAGGCGCAGCTCAAGGCACATGCTGATGGGAAAGGGATGTACTCATCAGTTTGATCCCACGACGGCTCCTTCTGGGTGCCAGATCAAATTCTCTAAGTCTTGTGCTTCGCGTAACAGGCTTTCGCCAAAGCATACCGGACCAAGCAGGACATCGTTCGCACCCCAGAGTTGATGACATGCATAGCAGGTTGCAAGCTCCTTCCAATCTTGTGCTCAGGTGCTGAGATTCATTAGGTTGAAGAAAGTCCATCTTGTGTTCGTATCCCTTAGGATTCATCTCATGCATCAAAGGGGTGGCAGGGCAAAATCTCTCTTGCCCGCTTGCCGCGCGACATGCACGATCCCTAAGGAGGTCAGCTTGATCCGGGAGTGCAATGAGATGCTGCAGCGTGATGTTGCAAAGTGATCCAGCCCATCATGATCACTGGTGAACTTCCTTGGTCCGTCCTGTGGCAAGTGTCACCTGATAAGAGATTTTGTGCGATATTGAACAGATCTCTTCGGCAGCTATGACTGAGTCATATACATATCCAAGGAAAATAGATTAACCGTAGCAATCATCACCGCGACGTCACTACAGGTACAGCGAGATGGTGGCCCACTGGTCTGGTGAGGTCAAAGAGGACTTGGCTGCGTTTGTGCGGGACACACTTTTCGGTGGAGCTTGCGGGAAATGCATTGTAATTTGTAAGCTGGAAATCTTTCAACCTATGTTTGGGCAAGGTTGACTTGTGGAGTGTAAGTGTCCCAAGCGACAGGACGTCAAGTTTGACCTCAACAAGTTGGCGGCTGGCGAGCTACATTGTGCTCTGCTAAGTACGACGGTGATTGTCCTTCATGTTCTAAAAGCTTGTTGCAAGCTGAAATGCTGAACTGGCTAATACGTGTGAGGTGTAAATTGCAAGACCACAGCCCTCAGCTTCTGCAACTCGCCTGAACTGTTTCTGGGTTTGAAAGCAGAAAGCGACTGTGATGCTGCGTGTGCGGCTTTTCGTGTTGGCCTTTTGGAAGCATGACTCAATGAATTTCTTGAATGAGGCCTTGAGTGCAAGGACGACGCGTGCATCTCTTCAAGTTCAGAGCAGTGCTTCAAAGTATTTGAGATGTTCATGCCACCTTTGCGAAGAACCTAAGCTCAATCTGACTTGGAGGACTACTTGTGCTTGAAGTGCTATGCTGACTTGCATGGGAAAGGCCAGGAGCGGGAGATTAGCACCTGATCACTCCTACTGCAAGACTTGCAAGCCCGGAAGCGTAAACCCATCCAGGCTCGCGCAAAGAGCATGCGCACAGCTCTCAGTAAATATATCAATCGAATTACAAAAGTGCCCTGGCCGTGCCTTGGCTATTGCCGGCAGGCCTTTCTGTTTGGTACCATGTGCTCTGTGCGTGGTACTTCCGGCCAAGATCCACTGCCGCCTGCTTACCATGCTAAAGCCAGCAGTCCCCAGTCTCCAACAGCCACATTGATTTGCTGGCGAGTGCGCGACTCCACAGCCGACTACCTGTGGCAAGGTACATTCACAGACAAATCGCTGTGTTGCGAGCTCAGGATTCAGACAAGATGTGACATCCGATAGCAATCAATCTTCTAACGTGGGCGGTCAGCAGGATTTTTTGCAACAGGCAGGCTGCGGTATTCAACGGCACCTGGCTACAAGCTTTCACTAGTCTTGTTTCCAAAGCGGTCTGGGGTGTCTTTGAGGCCACAAGTGCTACGCCATGAAGCACATCAAGATGCTCCCTCTGGATGGCAAAGAAAACCAGCACCTTAGCTTAATCCTTGGCCATGCTGCTAGACTCTTGAAACATTGGGAGCCCCAAGAGCGTGAAGACGCACAGCTGCCCTACTCAGGTGCTTATGAATGCCTAGATATTCCTGATGACAACATTTGATGTTCATGCTTAGGCCAAGAAGGATCAACTATGTGGAGCAGCCCAGACCTTAGCTACATGCTTTGGCTATCACCTCTACAGAGGCACGTGCCCTGCACTCTTTGCACCCTGCTTCGAACTTTCGCACCCTTGATTCAGGATTGATTCTGTCATGCCAGACTTGATCTCGTGCTGCTTCCTGAGGTACAACAGGTACGCTGAGTTTGCCAAGGTAAGGAACTGGGCTTGAAACAGCTGCAATGTTTCACGGACTTATCTTCTTGTCTTCCTCGGCAGAATGCCTCGGGGCTAGCATCTGCCGGATTGGGGCATAGCTTGCAGGGTTAGGATGATGGCAGACATGTGAGGGAGCTGGCTGGAGCATACGAGTCAGCTGCACCGAGCTGGCTTTTTCGCTGTGGGTCTGGAAAGCATAGGATCAGGTGTCAGAACAACTGTGGTATGGTTCTGCCGATCCGGACAAAAGTGCAGCTTGCCAGGAACGTGTGCAGAAAATGGCCGTCAAGCCAGAGGATCTGCCGGCATTGGATGACTCAGCATACGAGCCAGCCGCTCAAGCCATCCAAGTATGAACGCTGCTACGGCACGGTGTACACCTCCCATTGACCCAACATCAAATTCACTAACTTGCAGGCGTTTGTTCGGAGGTGAGAGTCATTGTGTTGAGAACCTTGCGCGACTGTTGAACAGTGACGAGGTCAGTTCTGAGCACTGACTGGCACCCCTTCTATGATGCTCGTGGTGTGAGGTGGGTGCCTGGCAGTTGCTGATTGCAAGCTTTATTATGAAGATTCTTGATCTTCGGGGTGGGTGGCATGTATGTTGTTGAGATTGTCTCGCGCTGGGCCCTTCTCAATCTATGTGGAAGTGCAAGAGGTACTATCATAACTTTGCCACTGGCGAGCGCATGCGGCAAAGTCCACGGCGTGTGCCCAACACTGCAGCTTGGCCGGCCTTCATACAGAAGCCTTAACTCAAGCCTGCCTATACCAATATGAACTGAGGACGATGCAGGAGCTGAGGAGACCACACCAACTGCGCAGGCAGGTTAAGAAGCCTTTGGATAAGCTGGCCACAACCTTCTCGCTCACCCCATCCGCGCCAGGAAGTCTCGCAGGCGCTGGCAATTTCACAACAAGATGCTAGTGCGCGACCAAGCTGTTTGTTTGTTTTATACTCTGGGGTTAATCAAAAGAAAGTTCGTAAAATGTAAATGAGGGTGCCAGAACTACAAGCACAATACCTCCTTTGTAGGAGGAGAGAACTCAAGCTCCAGTTGATTCTTTTGACCTTCTATGCAATCAAAAGAAACACCTGCAATTGTTCATAGGAACACATGTTAGAGCGTCTGAACTAGAAGCACAAAATCCTGTCCGTAGGAGGAGCGAACTCAAGCTCGAGTTGATTCTTTTCTACGCGATCAAAAAGAAACACCTGCAAGGAACTGGAGATTCCACTTCTTTCAAGTCAATTCTTTCTCTGGATAAGCTCTCTTGTGTAGGGATACAGGGGATAGGATTGCCATCAAACCACACAAGTTTCATGTTTTTAATACTTTTTTTTGGGGGGGGAGGGGTGTGGGTGCGGATCAGAGATCGGAGATTCTCCCGATAGTCTTCTCCGATCTAGGGGTCAGCCCACACCAAAAAAAATAATGGAATAACAGCTTTGACTTTCAAATTTTTTGAGGACAGATCAGAGATCAGAGATAGTTCCGAAAGCTTTTCTGATCCAGGCCACATTTTTTTAGATCAGAGATGATTCCAAAAGTTTTCGCTGATCCGCCACCATTTCTGTAGGGTTTAGGGTGGAGGGTTTACGGCTTCATGCTGGGAGAGCTGTGTCTGATCTTGCTGGTTGTGGAGCGAGATCTCGGAAGGATTGAGTGGTGGTTCATGGGAATAAACTGTTTAGCCGCCATGGAAGCAAGTCTCCAACCCCCCAGACTCCAATTCGGGTTTAGGGGTTTAGGGTTTAGGGTTTAGGGGTAACCTGCCGTAAACCCTGACTCACTGTGATTTTCAGGTTCACGATCAGGAGTACCTGCCGGGTCTGCTGATAACAGCCGGTCTGTCTTCCCGTCGGCTTCCTTCAACTCCACTTGGGTCAGGGGGACTTAGTAAGTAGGTTAATAACCCCTATAACTCATATAGTAACCCTGATTATCCCTATTATTAACCTACTTACTACGTCTCCATGACCCTCCAAGTAGACCTTACTCCAAGCCCTAAACCCTAAACCTTCAATCAGACCCTACTCAATTCCCAGAGGTGCCGGAAACGTGGGAGGGCAGGGTTTAAAGTCTGGAGCCCCAAGGTATCTGAGGCTTCTCCGGCATCTTCAAAGGCAGATGGAACCCATAAGCCACACCAGAAAGTTGGAAACCCAAGAAGCACCATGTGATCTTCTACCCCAAATCACTACAGCCTATTCCCTGAACCCCAAATTCTACCCCCTAAGCCCTCATCTCTACGCCCCAAACGGTTTAGGGTTTAGGGTCTTGCACCACAAACTCATCCACTTCCAACCCCCTGCTGCACCCAGGAAGACCCAGGAGGACCGATACACAATAGCCGCAACCCCAGGTGTTGCTATTACGATTGCGCTATGGTTCTTACGGGTATTCTTACTCTTATTGTCATGGTCATGATTATTTTTCTTCTTGATACTGCTACTGTGGTTTCTGTCAAAATTATTGGCCCTTAACTACTGTAATTCCTAGGACTCAAGGGACAAAGGACGGTAAAGTATTGCCAGAGTGTAGGGCCCAAGGTTTAGTAAGGTTCAGGATAAGTGCAGTGCCGGGTAACAGGATGAGTGCTGGGTAGTATGGAATGAGGGAATAGGATACAAAGATCCTTGTAAGGGAGTATACCGGGACTATCACAAGCATCCATTGTTCCATTCCCTGCTAATCCTCGCTAGTTGCTAATTGTAAGGGGTAAGGTAAGGCATTAGATTTATGGTTAGGGCTTAGACTTTGGCATCCAGGCATTAGGGTGTAGGGTTGTGGGAAGCCGAGAGTTTATTTTCAAATTCAGGGTTCAGTGTTTCCGGGTCTAAGGTTCGGATCAGAAGCTTCTGGGTGCGGGTGCCAGGCTCTAGCCCTAAACCCTAAACCCTAAACCCTAAGTTTTCATAGGTTTGGGTCTTGGAGTCCTGGCTCAGGGTTTCATCGCAGATGTTGTGGTAGAGCCAAGGTACTAGACCCCTTCAGAACCCGCTGGAGCGGAGCCTTTTGGCGAGGCTCTGCAAGACGTTCCCCACTCCCCCCACCCATTCTTACTGGGGGTTAGTAGGATTGTTGGAAAGATATGATTCAGGGATTACTTATATGGGCATTCTATTCCCTTATCTCCCACAAAGCGCTAGTAAGTATTTTTGGCGGATCTTGTCCGATGAGTGGCATGCAGAAGACTTTGGCATGTGAAAAATGTCTCGTGCTCAGATACTTGGCAAGAGAAAGGCTGATGGTTCCTCCTAACTTTCGGCACACCTGATTTGTCCGAGTCCACTTTGATGGGAACGCACAGAATCTTGAAACCCTTTCGATTTTCCATTGTCACGAATAAAATCCTTGCATGATCCCTACATGGTAATGTACTTAAACAGGAAGACCACAATATAGACCCCAAGCTACTATAATCCTTATTGTGGGGACCTCTACAAGGTACCCCTAATTTAGGGAAACCTGCATATACAACCGCTACACTGTGAGAGTCCTTGCCGCCGGCTCCAAGTGAAGTCAGGCTCTCCCAAAACCTAAAACCCAAGTAAGACGAGCCGGAAGTTCGTAGAATAAGCGATAAGCCAGACAGGATGCAAGACTTGGGGTTTAGGGTTTAGGGTTACATAGGTCAATTATGGGGATAGCAGGAGTTTTTTTGCTTGTAGTGACTATAGGTATACCTACGAAGTCCCTTGACTTTACAACAACTACGCGGGTGATATCGGTGGAACGGACAGCCACAGCAAGCACACTATCGAGAAGAGTCGTGCTGAGAGCCGCACCCGCACCAGCACCGTGGTGATATGAGCTACAGTCTAAACTCCTTAAAGGGGGTTATATAGGGGAGTATCAAGGGGATTATCGAGGGAGATACTTGGAGTTTGGACAATAGCTTATTTGGGCTGGGGCAACTTTCATGAAGAAACGTAACAAATATGTTGCACACTGTGGTCGTGCTGCGAGGCTTAGAAATGAACGAAGACGTACCAATCCCGTTTGCAGCCCCTCCATACACTCCCACAATCTGCATTATGCACGGGCGAAGTAGTAGTTGTAATCCACGTAGCAAACTGGAAAACAACCCTGAGTCCTAAAACCTAAACTTCGAATCCCCTAATCCCCTACACCGCGAACCCGCAAACCCTTACATTCCATCCTCGATATGAACACAGATTCCTTTGTGTCCCCATGCGTCTTTTGTCAGTTGTTTCTCCATGAACCCGACGCCCTATACCCAAACCCCAAACCCTAAACCCAAACCCCCAAGCCCGAAACCCGACACCCTATACTCTAAACCCTAAATCAATCTCAAGGTACCTTGCCTTGATCCTACGCTCGAAGTGCCCAATTCGTTTTTTGGGCCAAGTCCTCTGCAGCTGCATGCTTAACCCGATTTAGGGTTCACTCATTATGATATTTCTGGGGTCTTCATTTTGGGGTTGGGGGGTAGCAATGTCCTATGGTTAATGACTCTTTGAGGTTTTGGGTCTTGAGTTCGAGATTTTCGGATTTAGGCTGTGGGCTTCAGGGTTCTAAGGCTTAGAATTTGGAGATTTGGCGGTGTACTTGCCATGAGCTACCCTAAACCCTGAACCCTGAACCTTGATAAAACCTCAGGATTCTAGGATTAGGGTCTGGTCTGTTCACAACGAGGGGGGCTGTAGTGGTTTGTAAGCGCCTCTAGGGGTCGCACATCAAATCAAGGCTGTTGTGAGCAACTTTCAGATCTTACTGAATTTACTGGATGTCTGATTGTAGCCTTATCCCATTAGGCGCGAATGGTTGATATTGGTGGGGGGGTCGCCGGGGGTTGTAACATTAGGGCTCAACCCTACACCCTAAACCCGTTGGACATATCAGACCCTGGGTGTTGCCACGAATCTCACCGGTTTGGAACCTGGGGTTTTTGTGTCAAACTAACGCGTATCCATACCATTTCCAAAAACACTCACATGGGCCACATGGGGTTTATATGAAGGAGGGGCCCCAAGAACTGCCTCAATAGATTATGATCCGTACTATGGGGACCTGCAAGCCGTAAACCCTTGAAATCCAAATCTTTGGAAGCATTCACGTTTCAAGCAGGCTTCATGTTTGGATTGGGTTCCCCAGCAATTTCGGGTCCTCCTGTGGATGAAGCAAGTCTTCCACTATGGAATCCCCAACACTTTGTACTTCGCAGGGTATGGTTTAGGGTTTAGGGTTTCAGGTGGTGCAAGATTTCCTCCACCCGGCATTAGGTTGGAAGTCCTAATATTGAGGCGAATATCATTTTGGGGTATAGAAGTGGGACACTTCGTTTGATTATACCCATCTGCCTGGAATTCAAACCAGCCACCTCGCTTTCTCCCGACTGTTAACGGAGGAAAGCTTGCACTATCCCTGAAGCACTGTAATTTGCACGAGATGCAAGTTTCGTGCATGAAATAGTAGCATGCCCACTCTTTTCAGATGTTCCCAAGTAGGCTTCAACTAGGTTGCAGTGAAGGTTTTTTAAAGTACTACAGCAGCAAAACCCTTTTATGGACCATATACCCATATCATGGTAACCCTAAACCCTTTGTACCCATATTATGGTAGTTTAATATAAGTTCCTTAACAGCAACCCAGAGAAGCCAAGTAAGCCTGCCGCCAAGTGTCTTTGATGGCACCGTCGGCGATTTCGCCTCCAATGCTGTAAAGGACGACACGGTTCAAGGTGAAGGTTTGAGGGTTCAGGGTTTAGGGTTCAGGCTATAGGGTTCTGGGTGACAGCCCAGAGACATGCGCAGAGTTTCTGCTAATCCAGACTCCCATTTGGACTGCAGCTATGCACCAATATGAAGGACCTGTGGCGGCTCCACTTAGGACAGTATACCCATGAACCTGCAAGTTGCTTGTGGTCCGGGGCCCATATTTGCAGGATTTGAGTACGAA